TTCTCTTTTATTTCTTTATATTTTTTATTCATGCGCTATTCCAGAGCGCTATGATAGACCCTTTTCTAAGCTATTTTATCTGTCATTTTATCTTGGGCTGACAGGTCTTGGAAAACCTTGTCTCTCTTTGATGTTAAGGCGTGACTGCCTTTCAAGATGGCGCGGGGAACCGTGAAGGAGACTGTTTCGTATTTTATATTTCCAGGTGTCATATAGAATGTGTACTACCCTTGGTAGAAAATAGAATTTTAACCTATCAGCGGTGGATACTTTGGCAAAGCGCGGGTTTATTATTTCTTCTTGTTTATGTATTTTCTAAAACGTGCTGATAGATTGCATGGGCAATCTCTTAAATTGATTTGGCTGTGAAAGGAGGTCAAGAGCACTTGGTGACTCCATTCTTAATTTATTCTTTTGTTACTTATTCCATATATGGTTGTACGATTGATGAGAAGCATTCTGGGTAATATAAGGAACAAAGGCATGCGAATTATGCGAACGTTGCTATGAGATTTTGCACATACAGAAAAATTGGCCATTTTGATCTCCATTTTCAAGTGTTGATTAAAATATTTTCAAAGCYTCTCCCCAGTAAGCTACGTTAAAGATCAGAAATCCTACAGGAAATAATACCAGMGAATATTCGTCCATTCCTGTTAGAAAGCCATCAGTGTACATCMATTTCTTGATGGCACCCCATAATATGTTACTGCTTTTTATATTATAGTGAATGCTCTTTGGGGGTGAGCGTCTCAGACCTGCCTCAAACTTGACTGCATCATTGTCCTATGGAGGTCAAAGTGAAGGACAGTTAAACGGCATATGTTAATATTTTCTTTAATACACCTCTTGCTTTAATTGTTTATTTCCCGTCACCATGCCTACATTGCTCCTATTGTTCCACCTTTTTTGCTCCTCTCATTATATCAACTCAYACAGTTTTATCTCTTTACTCCGAAAAAGGATTAACGTCCGAAACGTCAGTTAGTTGTTTCACCTACTTTTTTTACAGTGTTAAATTTATCTTTTACACAACTTTTTAAGCGGCATAGATTGATTTTCATTCGACTTTCTTCCGATGACTCAATAGCCTTCTTCATAGTTCCATGCGCCATATTGAAATGTAACCGTTCCTATGCATCGAAGTGAGACAATCAGAGAGCGTGCAATGATGCACGTTCGCCGTTCTTCTCACTTCGTTTGATGCAAAGGCAC